CCCCCCCCCACACACACACACACACACACACACACTGCACAGCTAGCAGGAGAATCCTGGGAGCAGCTCTGCTGCAGGACAGAGAAAAGGGGGGAGAGGGGGAGCTGAACACATGCTGCAGGATGTAAGTACGAATGCTCTGCTAATCAGCTAGGCAGGCCAAAGAGAAATGCTTGGTGGGCCATATCCAGCACCCAGGCCTGATTTTTTTTTACCCACCCCTGTCCCTACTGGCTGACATAAAATACCGGAAAACTGCCAACTGAGAGGGAGAAGAGAAGAGAACAGAGGATAGTTTCATCACAAGGTTTTAAAAGCTAGTAAGCCACTTCCCAGGGGATGCAAAAGGAGTCTGTTACCAAGCAGAAACACTAAAAGATGACATTGCAAACACATGTATACTTACAAAGTGGCAGTTAGAGATAAAGTTGTGAATATGTTTAACATAAGCAGTTGTGTAATGACCAGTGTCTCTTGACGATCAGGAATTAGAGTACAAGCTTATATATGGGAAAAGGGTCTGGAGAGAGAGAGAGAGTTTGAGCAAGTTCCTTTTCTATTATGAATTGGTTACATAACTGACCCCTTAGGTCACATATAGAGTGATCGCTTTGTTCAGTCTATCGGGCCACATCCTCAAAGGAAATCTGCACAGAATTTCCAAAAGACGAGCTGGCAGCTTAAATTCAAAATGTTGCTAGATACTAAAAATCTCATGCTTTCAAAAAAGACACTCGTCTTCATTTTTTTTCAACAATCTGTACCCCTAATCCCCTCCCTCTTTTTAGCGTACGACTACATGTGTTTAGTGGGCCACTTCACATTGAATGGTTCCTTAGAATATGTGCTAACTACTTATACTAAACTAGCTATTCAATATAGTATTTAGCTGTAACACACTAGGGATGTAAATAGGGAAGCGGTACCTGGGAGCAGCCTATGGCCGACCAGAGTTGGAGTGCTGCGCCAGCCCCACTTCCATGTGGAGCTGCCAAATCCCAGCCCACATGGAGCCAGCAGCCCTGCCGGCCCCATGCGGAGGCCAGAAGCAGCTGGGCTGGAGCAGACTCCCCACCCAGCCCCTCTTTAATCAGTTAACTAGTTAAATACTACATTGAACCAGTTAACTAATTAAATGGTATTTTACATCCCTATGACACACTCAGTATATTTCCCAGACCTGAAGAAGAGATCTGTGTAGCTTAAAAGCCTCTCTCTCTCTCTCTCTCTCTCTCTCTCTGTAAGAGAAGTTAGTCTAATCAAAAATATTCTCTCCCACCTTGTGTCTCTAATTTCGTGGGATTGACATGGCTAGACCAACACTTCATTTTAGTTAAATCCACACTGTAATAAATAAATACACTATAAAAAAGTCAAGCCATAGACTACAGGCAGTCCCTGAGTTACACGGATCCGACTTATGTCGGATCCGCAGTTACGAACGGGGCCCTCCCTCTCCCTGGTCTCCAGCAGACCAGGGAGAGGAAGCAAAGCGGTGGAACACGCGGGCAGCGGACAGCCCAGACGCATCTGGGCTGTCCGCTGCCCGCGTGTTCTGCCGCTTTGCTCCCCGTCCCCCTGGTCTGCAGACCAGGGGAACGGGGAGCAAAGCAGAGCAAAGCCGCGGAGCCTGGGGTTCTTAAGTTGAATCTGTATGTAAGTCAGAACTGGTGTCCAGATTCAGCCGCTGTTGAAACTGATCAGTTTCAGCAGCGGCTGAATCTGGACGCCAGTTCCAACTTACATACAGATTCAACTTAAGAACAAACCTACAGTCCCTATCTTGTACGTAACCCGGGGACTGCCTGTACTGTAAGACTCTACTCATTTTTCTTTTTCAGCAGTAATATTTCACGTACTTTCTGTTGGCGGGCATTTATTTATTAGTCCTCATGCAATGTAAATGTAAGCTATGTGCAATTCATCTGCTTTACAAAGCTTTCTGTATGGTAATGCACTTGTAATATCTGAGATTTTTAACTTGCCACAAGATTCTTTTTCTATAGGGATTCTTTATTTTATAACGTAAGTACATCAAAACCATTGCAAGTAGCTAAGTAAAATGTCAACAATTTCAAGCTCTAAGTCTTGGCTGTTGTCACAGCCTTGACAAAGTCACATGAAAGCCTCATTCATAACTTATGAAACTCGTTTTACTGTGACTCGAGTTCAAACTCTTGTTTTGTTTTATTTTCTGGAAGACGGCCTCTGCCATGTAATGGTTGACTGAATATAGATAAAATAGGCCTTCTAGAACATGTTTGAGGCATATTGATGGAAATGTGTGGTGCACTTCAACTGTAGCTATCTGTCCTGTGGCTAAAGAGAGGACAATCTAGGATCTAACACCTGTCAGTTTGCAAAACTTCTCACAATTGTCAACACTTGGATTAAAAAAATATTTGTGACACAATGAGCCCAATTGTCAAATGCAGAAACCCAAGTTGTGCCTGTCAGACCTGCCCCAAACGTCTGTGCAGGGGCAGATGAGGACTTTGCGGGGCCCAGGGCAGCACAATTTCGCGGGGCCCCCCCTTTGACACGGCGCATGCGCGGTGGTGCCACGGCGCATGCACGGGGCTTCTTGAAGCGTAGGGCCCGGGGCGGCTACCCTGCTTGCCCTGCCCTATATCCGCCCCTGCATCTGTGATTTGATTAAAATAGCCGTTTTGAGAATATAAAACTTTATTTGTAAATAACATTTAATGTGATAACCTGACGTACATTCACAGGTATAGGTGCTTGATCTTATACACATCAGAACATTGGCCTTCAAATTTGCTAATATGGTGGAATACTATAGAGTAGAGGACATCATTGTTCCACTAAGAAATTTAATTTTCTTTTCACATTCCTCCCTTCCCCCATACACCAATTTCCCTTCCTCACATTTTTAACACTTATCACTAGAATGTCATGACGTTTTCATGTCCTGATAGTGAAAAGATTCCCTCCCATCCCCATGATGGTGCTGCTGTGACATAAAGATCTTTTGAGGGCAATGTCGAGAGGCGGAACAAAGTGCTACCTACATACTCCTAATTATTTCACCGTTTTTAAAAAAAAAAATCTACACATTTGTATAGTTGCATATTTTTATACTCTGTGGTTGGCATCTAAATTTACTGAACCCTCATGTTAAATTTAGTAACTCTGTTATTGTGAAATAATTAAAACTGGCAGCACTAAGAGGAGCCCAGTATCTGAAGGCAGTGGGGTGACTGCATGTCTCCTTATCCAAATCTTTTCTTTGAGCTTTAGGGATGAAAAATTGCTTGGTGGTTTTTTGTTTTGTTTGTTTGCTTGCTTTTTGTTTTGGGAAAAGTGGGCAAGGAGAAATGGCTTTCGATGCCAGAATTCTTGAAACGCTTATTTTCAGCCTATATTTGTCACTCTCATTTTTGCCATGTCTCATTTTAAATCCCTATTTGATGAGAATACATGTAAGATGAGCTGAGAACTGAGCAAACTCCCCTCTATCTCAGTGTCATTGATTTCTTTGGTTCCAGGAAATGAAAATCTTTTCCCCGTTTCCAACTTTGGGAAGTCGTGGGGGTCTGAAGACATTTGTTAAGAGACTTCCATTGAAACTGATAGCTAGGGACTTTATTACTTGCTACACAGACACACGGTTTCCAGGGATTCTACATCAGAATACCAGTGGTAAATGGAAAAATGATTTTTCATTGCCTCAGTCATGGTCATCCTTTAGATGTTACACAACAGTGCTTGGTGCATCCAGACTGAATGATGATAATATAGATATTAATAGGCCACTTACACTATTCAGCATGCGGTGGACAGATAGGCGTTTGGTACATGGCACTAGAAATGAATTACAGGAGTCATTATTAAGCCTGGTTACTTCTTTTCTGACTATAAATGTCACTTAGTTATAGCTGGATGCATTAAGATTAATGTCAATGCATTTTCTTGTTATAGGAGCAGCTTACTGCCAGTTCATGGACATGTTGTTCCCAGGGTGCATTAGCTTGAAGAAAGTAAAATTTCAGGCAAAGCTGGAGCATGAATATATTCACAATTTCAAACTTCTGCAAGCATCATTTAAAAGAATGAATGTGGATAAGGTATGTTTTCAATATTTAACCATACTAATATCATATTAATGTTTTACCAGACTGTCTTCTGTATTGGATAGTGTACAATGAACATTAGGAGCTAAAATAAAAAATATCCAGACCCAGACAGTTTCAGACTTGACTTAGCCTTAATTAGACATCCCAGCTCTGTATTTAAATGCCCTCACCCATTTTAGAAGTCAAAATGCCAGTATTTGGGTACAAAAAGAGAAATGCTCAAGATGAAAAATTGGGCCCCTAATAGTTAATTGATAAGGAATCAAAGGGCCACTTGTTAGATCCCCAAGTTCACCAGAGGGCTTCATAATAAAATGCTATCCTCTGGAAGATCTTTAAAATTAAGTACTAGGATCCTCCTAATTTCAGAGGATCACCACAATTTCACATGTGGTGTCACCGAGAATTCACAATACAGGTAAGCAACAAGTATTCTGTATCTGTTGTTGACTGAAAACTACTTATTCAAGGTAGGATGAGGACTAGTTCTACATTTTAAATCATTGGAACAAGTTTCCAAATTATGGAGAAGCCACCATGTTGCTTGGTAAATTAAATTAAGATTGGCTGTCTGTCTTTAAATAAATAAACTAGCTCACCCACAAGATATGGGCTTGATGCAAAAATTGTGTGAAGTTCTATGGCCCATAATGCAGGAGTTCAGAGAAGATGATAATACTTGTCCCTTCTAGCCTTCAAGCATAGGAAACCATTCAATCTATACAGAATTTACTTTGACTATTACCTCTGAACAAATCAAACCATGCCTTTGCGTTTCTTAAAGGAAGAAAACTTATAAAATATATACAGCATTTTATCTAATCCAGTACACTTTCCTAACAAATACACATTTTGAAGCTTTTCAGTGTTTTTCTTTGTTACATTTCTCAATTGTTGTGTATTGTTTGTTCTGTAAAGCTAAATGTCTTAACTCTCTTCTCTCTGACTTTAATCAACAATGTTGACCCAGTGTTCCCCACACTACTTTCTTCCCCTTGATATAATCAAGTTCATATTCTATGTGCAGATAAGATTCTATCCTAGATTTCACTCAGACTAAATACAAAGTCGAATAAATTTAATTTTCTCAAAACATCAGTTTGCCCAGTTTGTGTGTGCAGTAGCAATATGAGAATCTAAGCAGATTAAATAAAAATAAACTCATTAAAAATGCTGTCGTGCTTTCTGTTCTGTGTATATGAAATGGCTATATTTGTAATAATTTATTTGGGGGAGGGAAGGTTCTATACCTGCTTTTAACCTCTTTATTCCAAATCTTAAATAGTTTTAAAAAGTGCTGTTTTATGAATAAATGATATAGGACAATTTTAATACTAATTCATTATTATCACAATGCTTCAGTTGCTTCTATTTAAAACAGATTCTTTCAGCACAGCATTGAAAAGCCTAATAAAGTTGACTGTCAGTTCTTTCTTTATAGGGAACAAACCCATTGTTTCAGTGCATCATTAAAAATACAAGCATAACAAACTTAAGGGGTTATTGTACAACATGTCACATGATCTGTGGAGTACTGTACAGGCTAGCTCTTAACTTTTTTCAAAACACTGTGGTGCCGCTTAAGCCTTGAAATTTCCACTCCTCCTTAGGCTCTGGGAGCCCCTTTTCCAGTTGAAGATTGGAGTCTCTTCTGATTCATTCAACTTCCTGAACTGTTAATTGTTGCTAAAGAAGCCAGGGTGGCACTCCCGGCATTACTTATTAACCCACTTTGAAACTGGAAATGGTATTTGAATCCTGGTCTTGCTAAGAATGTTCAGGAGTGGATAGTTGGCTAATCGTATAGTCGATACAATTTGTATCAACTACACGATAAGTTGATAAGGGGAGGCATGCTGCAGAGCCACAGCGGGAGTAGCTTCTGGAGCCAGCATGATCCGGGAGTGAGCACTCCCAGCTTGCTCTGGGTCCAGGACACTGTGGCTCTGAATTTTAAATGCAGAGCTGCCATGGTCCTGGACCAGCATGAGCTGAAACTGATAGGTCCCAGTTCACGCCAGGTCCAGCAGCCCCTGTCTGCAGCCAGCCCAGGCTGACTTCAACTAGGGCTGCTTCACAGCAGCCTCCACTACTTTTTCCCCTCCCCTTCCCGCCGCCTCTGATAGAGAAGGGTGATCAATTGTATTCATAGCCACTGAGGGTAAAATGAGAAGTAATTGAATTAGTGTTAAGAAAGGGATATTTAGGTTAGATATTAGTGAGCTCTTTTGAACTGTAAATATAGCTAAGAACTGGAACAGATTATCAAGAGAGGCTGTGGAATCCTTATTGCAGTACTACATGTTTTTAAGAACAGGTCAAAGAAATGTCTGCCAAGGATGGTTTAGGTACATTTAATCCTATCTCAGGATAATGGGGGCAACTAGATGATATCTTGAGGTCTCTTTAAGCTTTACATTTCTGATACTTTTTGCTGAGTATGTCTACAAAATTCTCAGAACTAATAATGCTTAAATAAGAATGAATATTAGACAAACCTGAGATTGTGGTTCCAGACAGTGCACACACAGGGCAGTGTGAAAGAACATTCCCTGAGTTTTCTGACAGCTCCTTACATGCCTACTGTCTTTGCTTTTTGAAGGAATTGTTCATTGTTACATTGAATGAAATACGTTAATTAAAAAATAACAGATTCCCTGTTGCTTGTTGTTGTTAAAGATGACCATAGTTTAAGATTGACTGCATGGAACCCACTAGTCGCTCAAAACTAAAAGAAGTGCATCTGAGGAAGAGCAGTTGCAAGGCTTATGTAGAATGATATAGGTCTGCAAAGGTCTAATTTTAAAAACCAAACTTGAATAGCTCATGGCTGCCCAAATTCGAGTGTCAAGTTGTTTTCAGACCTGATCTAATCCTAATCTGACATTCCTCTCCATCTTCACAATGTGTGTCAACATTACCTCCATCTCATGGTTGAGGTTTGGCCTGATGGCGGCAGGGACTCCCCACACCCTGTGCCCACAATCCATCTCCCTTTACCTCCTGGGATGATGTGTCTGCAATGTCTGCAGATGGCTGCCGTCTTCTCCCACCTCACTGCACTGTGTGTGCTACAGCATGATAGGCATTACAGTTCCTCAGCATACTCAATCCATGGTACATGCAGTTCAGCAAGACCATGGCTAACAGGAGCAGGGCACTCAGCAGCCTTCACTGCTTTGCCTCACTGGCCCCCCATGGACAGGAGATGTTGGGCTGTTTTCAGACCTGAGCTGAACCTGCCACTTGCAGACTGGTCCCCTGGGGCTTGGGTCAGGTTGCAAGACTCTGTACTTCAGCATCTTTTAGAAGGTCATTGATAGTTGTTGCTCATGGAAAAATAGTGCTAGGAAATGCATATTTAAAGGGGCTTATATATAAACCACAAACACAGCTGAGAAGATTTTAACTATAACTCTAAATCCAGAATGATGCAGGAGATACCACATTGATAGTTAACTTGTTAGATAATCTGAGAACTGTGCATGTACTAGCAACACAATGTCACTGGAACCTTTGACCATTTTACAGGTGATTCCAGTGGAGAAATTGGTGAAAGGGCGCTTCCAAGACAACTTAGATTTCATCCAATGGTTCAAGAAGTTTTTTGATGCTAACTATGATGGTAAAGAGTATGATCCTGTGGAGGCTCGACAAGGACAAGATGCTCTTCCCCCACCGGATCCTGGTGAACAGATCTTTAACTTACCAAAAAAGTCACATCATGCAAACTCCCCCACAGCAGGTATTGTAAATCTTGGCAATTTCTGTTCCCTTCTTTACTGGTAATGGTAGAGCAGTGTGTTAATCTAGCAATATTTTAATCTCACAATTATTTGTATATATGTGTGTGTATATACATACTATATGTGTATGGGGTCAAATTAGAAATGACTCTTCAATGGCTTTTTGTTTGCACTTTGCACTATCTGAGTCTCACCATCCTGGATTATATAAATAGACTTTTTTCATTTTGTTTGTCTGTTCTGACCTTACGCATTACTGACAATTTCCCAATGGCGCCTAATGTTGGAAGCAAAGCCAATTGACTGTCTTGCTGCTGAGCATGGGTGATACTTTCTTGAATAGTTTAACAAATAGTTCCACATACACACTCATCTTCACAGGAAATTGTTAGCATAGTCTGGTTTTATGGTGACTGGAACACTTCCAAATCCTAAGTGCTGGCCCAAAAAGCAGAAAATTGATTGCTTGTATTTTTTTAATGTGCTGATCATTCAGACAAAATAATCTTCTAAGTGGACCACATACAGTAATATACTATATTTTCAAAGTATCATTGATTTTTTTTTTAATATCATTATTACTCAGTGTGTATCTGAAATGGGAATAAGCACCAAAGATCCATTTTATAGTTGTCCCTACATTATTTACAGACATGTGGGTTCACAAACCAGATGCTTTTTTTATCACTGGGACTAAACCACAAAGGGACAACAGAAACAGCTTAAAAATAATCCTTTGCGTGTAGTACTTATTGCTTTAATCTGTTTTTCATAGTTTTGAGTAAGTCCTTTTCTAGCCTTCTCTGAAACAAAATCCACACATTGTGTAGAGTCAAATACTCCCTCTTTCCTGAACTTTTCCTTTAATGTGGAAATTAACAACATAAAGTTCAGCTCAAAATTCCACCCTGGACTTAGCTGCTTCTATATTTCTGTCCTCAGTTTGGTCCAAACCCTAGATCTGAGAGATGGAACACTGCATGTGCTCCTCCATTCTCTCCCTTATATCTGTGTTTGGTTGAACCACTCACCTCCATGAATTACCAACACCTACTTAACCATTTCTCAGCAAAGTCAACATCTGTTAGCTATGGATATGATAGTGTATATGTTTAAGTGGTTAACCAGTGAGCTTAGGCTCATCAGTTAACCTTCACGGTTACATGCAAGCCCTCCTTCCTACCCTGATTCTGCTGTCTCTGTATCAGAGGCAGCAGAGCAGTAGGTGGGAGCATGTGGGAACTGTTGCTCGGGGGGAGCCAGCTTTTAAGATAAAGAGGCAGCAGCACAAGGTGGGGAGTAGAAGCGAGCCGGTCTGAGCAGGGAGCCAGCTTTTAAGTTGGCTACCTGCAGGTACTGGCTCCCATGGAGCCACTTGCGTCCTCTTCCTCCCCCGTGTGTAAAAGTGTAATCGTAATCACTAAATTTCAGCCATTACATCTTTACCCAAAACCCAGCATTTTTAACATCCCTACTGCTAGTACAATGGGGTGTACCCAGCAAGCACTGTCAGCCATGTATGTGTTTGTAACACCTCTATTTTGGTTTTGTACCTCCTATATTTTTAACTGTTGGTTCTGAATTTCTGAGAAGCTGGTGCCTTTTGTGTATTGAGGGATGGCCTTAAGCATTCCACACAAGGTGGAATATATGTTTTTGATGCTCTCTGAACTGCTAAATTCCCTCCCTCCCTCCCCCATCCTACAGTACTAGTTTGGCACTCAGGTCAAAAATCCTGACCGCCAATCCTGTGTGTGCTTCCTTGAGGGGAAGTTCCCTACCCCCTTCAAAAAAGGAAAATTTCTGAGTTCTATTGCTAATTCAAAGTTAATGGTTTAAAATACTCCTTATTGATAAATCTAAGCTTAACATGGATAACAAAACAGACCATCTGCAGAGAAAATTAGTTGTGTTTTGCTAATAGCTGGAAGATCCTGAGAAAATGGAATAGCTTTCAGTATTTGAACTGGAAAAGAGATGTGGGTGGGAATGCCATGTCCTCCATCTTCAGGCTGCTACTAGTTTGGAGAAGAAAATTAAAGGTGACACTGGAGAAAAAACTGAGACGCACAAGACATTTCCTGAGTTCAATTGCTTAGTGGAACAATCACAGGTCTTCTGACAAATTTCCAGATAGGATTTGAAGACTCTGTAAGTACATTGACTTCATTTCCATTAATTTAAATACTGTATAGTCTAGAATTAGTGTTTATCTGTAAATCTATATTCATATTTTTTTCTACCAAATAGCGAATTTGTGTATACTTTAAATATATCAGTTGTCCATTATATTTAGAACAAGATTCTATTTTTAATCACATGTATTGGTAGGTCACTAGAGAGTGGACTTAACCCATTGAACAATGTTTATTTTAGTTTCACCAATATGTTATGCCTTAAGTCATGATGGGCAAATAAGAAGTCATACTGGGTCAAACCAAAGGTACATCTGGCCCAGTATTCTGTCTTCTGACAGTGGCCAATGCCAGATGCCCAGAAATAGTGAACAAAATAAATAATCATCACATGATCCCTTTTCTGTCATCCATTTCAAGCCTCTGACAAACAGAGGTTAGGGACACTAGGATAGGTAATAGCCACTGATGGACCTAACTTCCATGAATTTATCTAGTTCTTTTTTAACCCTGTTAAAGTCCTGGTCTTCACAACATCCTCTGGCAAGGACTTCCACAGGTTGACGCTGTTCTGCATGAAGAAAAGCATCCTTTTGTTTGTCATTGAGCCTGCTACCTATTTATTTACCTATTATTTTTGTGACCAGTAGTTCTTACGTTACGGGAACAAGAAAATAATTTTTCCTTGTTCACTTTTTTCACATCAGTCATGATTTTATAGACTTCTATCATATCCCCCCTTTATGTCCCCTTTCAAAAATGAAAAGCCCCAGTCTAATATATAATGTCTCTTATTGGATGAGAATACAGGAGGCCCCCGCTTTACAACGGCTCAATTTACAACCCCCCGCACTTATGACCTTTTCCATAAGAGTAGAAAGGGACAATCTCCCGACTTACGTCCTTGGCCCCACATTTACGATGGCACATGACGCCTGTCGTAAATGCAGGTTCAAGTTACGATGCCCCCAACTTGCGATGCTATCCCAATAACCGATCGCGTCGCAAGTCAGGGACCGCCTGTACTTACATTTATTTTGGAATTTCTGTTGGTATCCTGTGTGTGTATATGCATTCTCTTTTGACCTGATCTCTTTTGACCTGATGTCTCAATAATCTGGAGGATTAGGGAGCAAGTTACATTGGTATGAACTTCATGACTGAGGATAGCTGGCATAAGAGATCAGGCATATGTACATCTCTGGGGTGTGTGTGTGTGTGTGTGTGTGTGTGTGTATATATATATATATACACACACACATACATACACACGCACATACATTTGTGTACAGCTTGCATCTCTATAAACTGGAACACTCTGGTCTGGCAATATTCGTGGTTCCAGGGTCAGTGTCCTGGTGGAGGGCTGGGAGCTGGGAAGACGGGTGCGCTCAGCTAGTCTGCAAGGAGAGGAAGGTCAGCTGTGGGGCTCCCTAGGAGCCCATGCACGGCTCAGCTGGGCTGCCAGGGAAGGGGCACTCTGGGGGCCGCCATATGACTCAGCTGGGTTGCGAGGGGAGAAGGCAGGGACCAGGAAACTAGTGGTGCAGGGGGTGCAGCTGGCAGCAGAGGGGCCAGAAATGACTTTCCCTGGTCCAGCAAAATGCCTCATCTGGGACCAGTCAGGTCCCAAGGGTGCTGGGCCAGGAAGGTCCAACCTGTACTATGATTAATCTTAGGTGCAATAAAAATCAGATAATTCAAAGTTTATGGTTCCTGTAGTAGCTGTAAGTTGTCCATACTACACATCCAGGGCTAAATCCTACTTGCATTACTCACTCAAATACTATACTCTGACTTCAGTATGACTGCTCATTTGAGTAAGATTAGTAGGATTTAACTAGTTGTTAACTAACATTAACTGCAGGTCAGTATATGTGTCAAAATAACTTTTACTATTGAAAAGAAGTTTGAATTTTGTAATTTTTGGTCTTAAGTTCTTATAGTATTTTCATCACTGAGTATTTGAATGGTAATACAAGAGCTGTTTAAAATCTCAACATAAAGCCATATTAACATAGGTTTATATTTTACTTTCATTAATCAAGCATAAAAGAATAAAATGAAAATTAAAATTAAGGTGCCAACATATTTTGAATGATTGATCATCGTTCACTTATTACTTCAAAATTTGAGAGAAAACCTAGGATAAGAATTCTTAAAATTGCAGTTACTAGGGACTAGCACAGAAGCTACAAGAACTTCTTGGTCCCATTCTATGCTCTCCAAAGATAAGTAAGCAGTGATCACTTGGTGCAGGGACTGCCCTGAGGATGTAGTTTTGTGAATGGATATTGGTTGCATGTGTCTATAAAGATAGCTGCATTCTGTCTACTGCAATCAGATGCAGTCAGCGCTGGTCTAACATTGTTCCTGTTGACATCAGTGGTATAACTCCCATTTACTTAAACAGGGAACAAAGTACGGTCACCACTGAGTGCTTTTGAAAATTCTATCTTTAGTGCACTTTGCATGCATAGTGCAGTGTATATTAAGCTGCTTTTAAAAGTGTTTAGAAATAAAATCGATGCCTTTTTGCAACTAATGTTAGTGTGCTAGAAAAATGCGAAATTATACAATGAGTATTCACCCACTCTGGGACTAAAACTGCCAAATGTGTGTGTGAACTTCATTGGTCAGATTTTCATTGGTCAGATTTTAAACTCTCAAATTGTTCTGTAATATCTGCACTTGCAAAAAATGCACAAGTATTATTGCTTGCAAATGAAGTTAACTATTATACGTACTATGAAACCTTTTTTCCCTCAAATTTTTGACATTTCACAAAAATGAAGGTGACATCTGGCACAGAAATACTAATTAAACTGTATGTGGCATGACAGTGCAGGTAAGCACATCCAAAA